GTGTCCGAATGACACTTCCTCATTAGATTGCAGAATCGGGGAACGATAGTTATATTTGCTATTAAAACCAACTATACTACATATCTTAGTCTTTAATTAGGTTTTCGAGACTATCAATATATCTTGAATAAGAACTGTAGAACTGGTAGTCGAAATTCCCCATAATATACAAGTAGGCCTCAAATTACCATTACATTTCAGGCAGCATCGCTTTCCAAGAGTCCTTTTCATCCAGAGTGAAATGGACTACAGTTTCGATCTCGCCTGAGCTGGTCTCATTAGCATATTCTACGGAAATCGAGCCCGTAAAACGTTTCGGGACCTTATGCTGCACTACCAAGGTTTAATTTCTGCTGGGATCGTTGATGAGAGCTAGTCGGGACCAAAACTGCAATTCAGTCAATCCTAGATGGGAATACCTTTTGGCAAGTAAGGCCATCTGAAATTGGATGGAAAACCTGATGTCTACTTATATCATTGTGGGAAAGTTCAACTAACAGTTCTTTATTACCTGAAATGACATACGGGAAATACATTTCTTATTCAGGATCCGCTGGTAGCCTTGAAAATCTTCTTAAAAACGACAATGGACAATTGAAATTTGTATAGTCACTTGCGGAACCTTTTTATAAAATTACCTAACAAATGTGATTTATCTGCAATGCCTAAAAAAATCTGTTTTAGACATTCCTCTAAAAGTGAAATAACGTTGAATGCATATTTGTATTTCATATTCTTCACTTTGAATTAACCGCTTAGTTACCACTACAATCGACGTCTCGGGGCCTAAGTCAAAACTCGTCTTTCGGTCGGTTGATCGACCAGCGGCCAACCTAAAGGAACGCACCCGGAATCAGTCTCAGCCACAGAAGCCTGGAGGAAATTGTGGACAAAAGGAAGCACTGGTACGCACAAACCCTTCAAGGGCTCCGCTTGAGAATAGACCCGTCGTTGGTGGTAAGGTGGACTCCATGACTGCCTTTGATAGTCTCGCAGCTCGACTTTCTACTGCGCGTGCTGCTATGGCTTCTCAATTGCATGAGCCAGCTCGATTGCGGGCGAAAGAAGGCTCGCCAGACAGGTTTGTATTCTCAAATTTACTATTCTAACTAAGCCTTTTACTAAGGACTGTAGTTTAGGCGTATTTCTCCCTTATCTAGATTTTTCACTGCCTATAGCAACCTAATATATTGCAAGCGTTATAAAGAAAATCTGTGCTTAGAAGACTTTCTTAATAGGTTCATGCCCCTTTCAAAGTTAATGTAAGGTAGAATTGTCCGTATCGGTAACAAAAGGGGGATTGAAGAGAT